TTTAAACGAACCAACATGTATTTTATTATGGTTACATATTTATATAAAAATGGGTATTTAGCTTGTGCCTCCCATCTGACTTGAGAAACTACAAATTGTGAGTTTGTGCCTAACTTAATTTCTATTGCCATCATTTCATATGTCAAGGCAAGGCCGATGATTTGTGCCCTTCCAAATCATTATTCCTTAGACAACTAACATGATATGTGCCACAAATGAGAAAACCTAGATCCTTATTAAAATTGGGTAACCCGACTCATCAAGCGCGACCCAGAGAATGCCTAATACACATCTATCCTACTTTGCTACGGGGTATTCATTTATGGACCCAATAAAATCGTCTTAGTCCAAAAACAGATTGAAATCGAGTGCAAATGGAAAAAATTAAGGAAGCGAGAATCATCTTCATAACATGAACTATAACCCCAAAAATCTTAAAACTCATATATAAATCATCATCTTAATGTGTCTATATTTCCTTATGTCTTGTTTGGAAATGATATGGATACGAACAAGTAAGAGAAATGTAATGAGAGCACTTTGGGTACATTCAGATTGATGGACTAAAACTAAGTGGAGCAAAAAGAATTTGAATGGAATGGAGTGAAAGATAACAAAATAAGAAAAAGTTTTATTGTTTGAGTATTTCAATTATATAGCTTCTTTCCATTTCATACACCCCAAATCGTGCGTAATCAAAAAATGAAGGATAAAACGAAGATTGATTCCATTATGCTCTATTCCATTCCATATATTAATTACAAACCCAAACAATAGAATTCAATTGTTCACCATTCCATTCCATTTCATCCAATATCACTAATCAAAACATAACTTTAATGGATAAGAGGGAATTGCGTGACAAAGCTTAGGAGTTGGTCTTCTTATTTTTGTTTGACCTATAATTGGAAAGCTAAACTCAAACATTAAATAAAAACGAATTTCTTAAGCGCATTGGTTCTCTCTTGGTGTTGATATCATAATGAGCATGCCATCTTGTGGATCTTCTGCAATAAATTATTTTTGTGTTTGTCTTAACAAATCTGTCATGTTCATATTGACTCGCATACATAAGTGCAAATAAAGGAAAGAAGAGTTATAAATTAATGTGTGATTTCACATTGATTTCAAAGGGATATGTAGAACATACGAAGAAAAATCCATACATGGAGTATAACACATGGGTCATTTGGGGAAATTTAATTTTTTTATGTTTTATTTGATTAGCCGAATTAAAAAATATTTACACTATTATAATATTTTATTTTATTAAAAATATATATTAATTGATATAATGATGACCTAGAAAGATAAAATTGACATGACACCTACTCGTCTTTATCTTCGCAACAAATGCACGACCACCAAAATTAGAGGACCAAAACTTTGATAAAAACTGGAACACCAAAAAATATTTAAGGACATGTTTTACATATTCGTATGTACGGTGAGAATAGGCCAGGCTAGCCAAGAGTTAGAAGGCATGTGCATGACCTACAATAATTTTAAAGCCTAAGACTGACCTATAATCTATTATAGATTTTTTTTGCCTGACATGATTTTTTTTAAAAGTCTGACATGACCTTAAAGTCTACTTAAAAACTTGCTTCTAATTAAGACTTTAAAAAACACCCATTTATTTATTTTTAAATAAACTACACAACATTTTATATATTATTTGGCATATTTTCTAATAGATATGCATATATAGGATGACCTATCAAGCTTCATAGACTTTTATAATAGCACATAGTCTGACCTATTTAATTAAATAGGTTTTTTAAAAGGTTAAGCCTAGCCTTTTTATTAAATAGGCTAGACCTGAGTCCCACAGTGGGCGTCCATTATACTCGCTAAAAGTGCAATACGTGAAAAACCATAGTGATTAAGGGTTGTTAGAGGCTTTAGGTTGTTGTAAGGTTTAGAGCTAGCTCACATAAGGAGGTGAAAAACTCTGTGTATCTAGTATTTATGTGAATGTCAAATTACCATTCTCAACTTCAGGGTTGAGGTATTTATGGATGCACTGAGTATGGATCCTAGGCCCTTTTTGAGTAGCATCCACTTTCGTGAGAATGTAGGAGTGGACAATTAATACCATGTTATTCAAGAAAGTGTGGTTAATTTTCCCATGTCTCGTTCCACATCGTTGTAGACCAGGGACACATTACTTCCTACATTTGCATGCTTTGGGCGAGTCACCCAGGAAGTGTGTGTCGTATTAGAGGAAATGACGTCACAACCAATAAATGGGTGCTCGATTTAAGAAACGACGGACCAGGAAGACATTGTGCGTGAGTTGTTACATCAATTTCCTCCCATGTCTCCCTCTATGGACCTTTCACATATATATCAATACAAGTTCTTTTCCAAGAAAACAATTTAGTTGTACTTTTTAGAAGTATAAGTATTCTAATAAATATTTTAGATAGAAAAATCTAGGCATTATACCTTCAGACTATGAATTGAAAGTTGTTCATGTCAAAAGAAGCTGTGAAACACAACGAATAAATGGGCATTATAAAATCATGTGATTAACACCAAGACAAACATTTCACCCCACCAAAGACATGTATAGAAAAATGGTTCACAAGGAACGAAATATAAAGGACTGAAATTCCATTACTTTCCTGAAACCATAATAAAAGTAAGTGAGTATGGAAAAAGAAGTTCAGAAGCATTCATTAACTTAAAAAGATGAATTCAAAGACACACTCACACGTGCGCGCGCACACACACACACACACACACACACACACACGTGCGCACACACACACACACACACGCGTGCGTGCATACACACACACACACACACACACACACACACACACACACACACACACACACAGTATGTTATGTTAAAAGAGGTGACATAAACTTGAATCAATGGTTAAGGGGATAAAATTGGTGAAGATATAAAAGGTTGCGAGAGTTGTAGAAAATCTTTTAAAGGTTCACGAATGGCGAAAAGGGGAACACGGAAAAATATCCCTAAGGAAGATGAATCATGTGATCCTCAGTGTTGGGAAACACGAAAGACACCACCAACAATCAAGATTTTATCGCACATTGTTTGAAAACATTCAAATTCACTAGTACTATAATGAAACATTATCATCAAATTTATGAACACATGTTGTGTCATACCTACTAAACATTGCTAATCATGAGGGAAACATCTAACACACATCTTCTAAAGACATCAATGTTCCATTAAGACTCTTCTGTTTTCTTCCACTATAGGTCGAACGAAAGACGAACCCGACAAAACCCTCACTCTACGAAGTAAAAACAAGCGCTTGAGGGTTAACTATTGTGGATCGTCCGCAATGACCATGAAGAACACTCAATACAAAGCATCAAAGAGAAAGAAACACGAAATAGGTGGACCAAAGACACCCAAGCCTTCAATTACATCTCTCATTGTTGAAATCTAATCACACGACGACCTACACGAGACACCAAATTACACGCAGACTACTATATAAAAATAAAATCACGCCATTTTAGGTGTTCAACTTATTTCATCTCATATCACTTTTCACTTAGTAACTAATTTGAACATTGAAGTGTTAATTTTGTAGATCCAACCCTCTTCGTCGTATCAGAACCTTACTCCACCAAGCTAGATTTCATTTATATACTATACTATATATTTCTAGTTCCTAAAATAAAAAATAAATAACTCTTCATTTCTCTTTAATTAATGGGAAAATTTTACTGCTTAACTCTTTGTAAATAAAAAAAATAAAATATTTTTTACATATTATTTTCACCTTTAAAATATCACTCTCCTATTCATTAGTAATCGAGAATCTTAATAAAAAAATTTTAAATAAATTTCTTGCTAACATACATCTTATATATATAAACAAATAAATATTCTATTAAAAAATGATCTTGAGTTCGAATCCTACTAAATATTACTCCCTTTTATTTTTTTAATTATAAGTCGTTTTGACTTTTTACACATATTAAAAATGTAATATTTGTAGTATGAAAAAGATAAATTGTAAATGTTTTTATAAAATTGTTCTTTTTCAATAGTATTAAAAAAATAAATTTAAATAATTAAAAGGAGAGAGAATAATAAATATTTAAAAATACAAAGAAAAAAATAACATTAATAATTTATTGATATTATAAAATAATTTATATTTTAGTACACAATTTTTTCTAAAACGACTTAATAAAAAACAGAGATAGTTACAAATTTTTTTTTGATGGATCCATTCATATAAAATTTTACTCTGACATTAACAGAACCATTACTCACAAGAGCGGATATAAAAAAAATAATATTTAATTCATTGATTAACTTTCTTTAAACACACGTTAGTACTTATCTTAAAAATATCTTTAAAAAATAAAAACGTCTAAAATTCTTATACCTCAATTATAAATCAATTAAATAAAATGAATGAGCGTGGACAATTGGCCAATCGAGAACAAGATTCCCAATTCTGTGGGCACTCTTCCCCCGTGACCCCACCGCACCGGGCCCCACTCATATTCACTCCACATGCGCTTCCCTTCTTACTATAAAGTCGTTAGTTTCAGTTTACTATTTTCTAGACAACAAATTTAATTTCTCAAAATATAAATAATTTCAAAAACAATTTCATATTATTTTTTAAAATAAAAAACCTTATCTAAAACAATCATAGCCTTGTTAGTGTTCTTACTCTTAGTCATATATTTTTATGGAAAATATTCTTAGTCATTTTTAATATTAGTAATAATAACTCATTCATCGTCATAAAATAAAATAAAATAAATAAAAATCCTTCGCCATCTCCTTTTCCTACCTACTAAGCTACAACGTAGCAACAGTAATCAACATTTATTATTATAATAAAATATTATTAGTTATAATTATTATATTAATTTAAAAATTAATCCATTTTCCAATTTCCCACCCCCCTTCTCTTTATAAGGTCCACGTTCACTGCACCTTTTTCTTCATTCTTCATTCTCATTCTCACCTTCTTCCTCCAAAAATGGATTCAGCAATGAAACTAATCTTCCTCTTCATCACCCTAACCTTCACAGTTTCACTAGCCTTAGACATGTCGATAATCTCCTACGACAAAACCCACCCTGACAAATCAACCCAAAGAACCAACGATGAAGTCTTGGCTATGTACGAAGAGTGGTTAGTCAAACATGGTAAAAACTACAACGCTTTAGGCGAGAAAGAAAAGCGGTTCGAGATCTTTAAAGATAATCTTGGGTTCATCGATGAACATAATAGTAAGAATTTGAGTTTTAGATTGGGGTTGAACCGGTTCGCCGATCTGACGAATGAAGAGTATAGAACCAGGTTTTTGGGAACCAGGATCGATCCGAACCGGAGAAGTCGTAAGGTGAACTCACAGACCAATAGATACGCGGCACGTGTCGGCGATAAATTGCCGGAATCAGTTGATTGGAGAAAAGAAGGTGCTGTTGTTGGAGTCAAAGATCAAGGAAGCTGTGGTAAGAATCGCTTCGATATTTTCCCTTAACTTAACGCTTTCGATTTTGTGTTTTTTATTTATTTTTTCATTTTTAATAAAAAAGAAAAAAAAGAAAAATTCTTTTCTTCGTTTTTAATCATCATATTTTACTTTTTTCTTTTTATATATTTTGTTTTTATGATCTAAGTTTTTTTATTTATTATATCTGATGTTGCATGCTCATCCACGTGATCTGAAGATTTTATTTTTGTGACTGAAAAATATTGATATCATATTTTAGGTTTAAAAATTAAATATATGGATTTCATTTTTAGACTCGTTTTTTGTGTGGATATGTTATTAGGATTTCATAATTATTACTGTGATTACTGTGATATGGTTTTTATTTGTGATCTGATTCTGAAATAGAATAAAATTGTATTGTTGTGGATCTTTTAGGTGATTGAATCGAAAATTGATCTGGATTTTACGTGCTTAACCATAATCGGTAGCTTGAGATTTCAGGCTTTATTTGTGAAATTAAGTAAAAAATTAACATATACATATGGTCAATCAGTATTAATCTCCAAGTGTATTTCCTACATATTTGTGTTTGGATAAGCAACTTATTTGCGCTTTACATAAGTGCTTATTAATATAGTGCTTAGGCGTAAGCTTACATAAGCTATTTCTATAGTAATAGATCCTTGATATATCAATTATTGGTGTATTAATTTGGCTATCTGAATTTTGCTAATTTTTATGTGTTTTTTTTATTTTTATTTTTCAATGAAGGGAGTTGTTGGGCATTCTCAGCAATAGCAGCTGTGGAAGGAGTGAATAAGTTAGCGACAGGTGATCTGATTTCGCTATCAGAACAAGAACTGGTGGACTGTGATACATCATATAACGAGGGATGCAATGGAGGACTTATGGACTATGCCTTTGAGTTCATCATCAATAATGGTGGCATTGATTCTGAAGAGGATTACCCCTACAGTGCTGTTGATGGTAGATGTGATCAGAACAGGGTTAGTCAAGTAGTCTTTGATTGTTTAATGATTATGATTATGATACTGATAAGTGTTGGTTAAAGAAAGTTAATTAGTAGTTAGTTACCACTCATTGGTTTTGATCTTTTTTGTTATTTTATCATGTGCAGAAAAATGCTAAAGTTGTTTCAATTGATGACTATGAGGATGTTCCGGCTTATGATGAAGGTGCTTTGAAAAAGGCTGTTGCAAATCAGGTTATTGCCGTTGCTGTTGAAGGAGGTGGTAGGGAATTCCAGTTATATGAATCTGTAAGTTTCTAAATCAATTCTACTATGAAATGAGGGAACCCTATTTTCTTGGATTTGGATTCCATACGTATGCTTAAACCCGTATTCTATCTTTCCAGAACTGATCCAAAACATGAGTTAGACTGTCTTAAGCCATAAAAGTGAGATTGCGTTACTATAGACAATCTATTTCTAAAACTTAGGTGTCTCTAATGGCTATATGGTATAATGAGAAATTAGTATAAGAGACAAAATTTTCAATTGAATTTTTGAAGTTTTCTAATTCAATGTATGCCATTTTCCTCTTTTCAGGGTGTGTTTACAGGAAGATGTGGAACAGCGCTAGACCATGGTGTTGCAGCTGTTGGATATGGAACAGACAACGGTAAAGATTATTGGATTGTTAGGAATTCATGGGGTGCTAGCTGGGGAGAAGCCGGATACATCAGACTTGAACGTAATCTTGCTTCAAGCAAATCAGGCAAGTGTGGAATTGCAATCGAGCCATCTTATCCAATCAAGAATGGTGTGAATCCCCCTAAGCCTGGTCCATCACCACCTTCACCAGTGACGCCACCATCTGTTTGTGATAGTTACTACAGCTGTACTCCAGGATCAACCTGTTGCTGTATTTTTGACTATGGGGGATCTTGCTTTGAGTGGGGATGTTGCCCTCTTGAGTCTGCTACTTGCTGTGACGATCATTACAGTTGCTGCCCTCATGAGTATCCTGTCTGTGACACTAATGCAGGACTTTGTCTTAAGGTATGGCCAAATTAACTCGGTTATTTTAGCTTACGCTTAATAAATCTTAAACCCAAACAAGGTCAAGTTTTTTCAGGAAAAGAACTTATAGACCAAACTCATAATTTAGTTGTTTATCCACAAACATTAGTATATCATTATTAATTGTCTTCATTTTTGCTTATCCAAAATTTTGTGTGATCACAGAGCAAGAACAACCCATTAGGAGTGAAGTCATTCAAACGAACTCCTGCAAAGCCACACTTTGCCCTTGGAGGTAAGAACAAGATGGGCAGTGTTTAAGTTGTTGGCCCGATAATTTAAGTGCTGATGGGTAAGACAAGCTCGAAGAAGTAAAACACTAGCTGATGGATGCCATTTTCCTATGTTTTCAAGGATAGTGATCGTAGCGCTTTATCTGTTCTCTATTTAATTTTATGATACAAACAGATACATTGTGTAAAATTTCAGTCTCACTGACTGTACATAGCTATGCACTGTATTTCTCTTCAAATTCCAAACCAAGAACTTAATTGATTATTGTACTTTCAGCTTTTGTAAATTATGTGATCATCATTCAGTAATGCTTGGTTGAATAATTTGCTCTATATTCATGTGTTACTTTTATTGTGTATGCTGGTCCTACCCAGAAGCATGAATTTATTGTGTTAGTTGTGAAGATATTTTTTCACAGAAAACACGTGGGACAGATTGATGATAATGTAAAAAAGTATCGATGTTGAAACAATCAAGGTGTTTGTATTCCGTTTTGAAACTAAAAGATTTGATTTTTGATATCCAATAAGTTAGATTATATTTTAGAGATTTTTATTTTAGTCCTCTATAATTTTTCAGTTTTAGGAATTGGTCTCGGTAAATTCTAAAAATTGTGACTTAGTCTTTATTTTTAAAATTTAAATTGGCTCTAAAATTTTAAGGTTTATAAAAACAGTTCTAAAAATTTAATAATGATTTATCTTAGTACTATATATCTAAACAAAACAATTTAAAAAATGAATGAGTTTCACTTGAATTATTTAAAACTTTCAATTACCTCTTTGTAACACATAGTCTAGTAACAAATTGGAAATGTTTTCATTGAAGAATGGTTAAAGATGAGTAAAGAATATATTCATTTTGAAACCACAAGATATGACTTTTGGTATCCAAATGTTATATATTTTTTAAGATTTTAATAAAAAATATTTACAAATTCTACGATATTTTCTATTTAATTTAAAAAGTAATTTAAAAAATTTAAAAAATAATATGAAATTTATAAGATATGATGCACATTAAGCTTTTTTCGTAAAGCTACACACATCTTTTCTTCGTAACCTAGTCTCTATAATATGAAATTGAAAATCCTTTTATATACTATGCTTCAAAATAATCACAAATTGAAGTTTTTTTCAAGTGTGTGTCAACTCCTCAAAAATAAAGAAAATGAAGAAATTATTTGAGAGAAAAAGAACGTTCGCATTTAATATAACTGAAAATGGTTCATTCTTACAATATATATTGCTTAATTTGGAATAACAATTTGTTTAGGGATCTAAATGGATATTTATGGGATGAATATTATGATATTCGTATTGCCCCGTTGAATAAATTTGACATCCATATCCGCCTCATATTTATACGGATATCAGTTAAGTGAGTAATTAGCGGGTTTTACGCTATCCGTGGATATTTACAAATATCCATGGATAACACTTTTTTTATAAAAATATTTTTAACTTCTTTTAAAAACACAAAAATTATTACCACATCACATCCATACAATTCGCTTTTAATTTAACAATAAAATTACATTACATTGATTTTCTTCTTATTCACCAAAACATAATTAGATCCAAACATAATATCCATGCTTTTTATTTTTAACCAAACAAATAAAAGATATTGTGATTGTGAGTTATGATGAAAGAGCGGACAACAAAGTAGTAAGAAGGGAGACACTGGTTCAACAGAGGAATGACGACACGTTGGTTGGACTGTGAAATTGTTGAAGTGGGGTATGAAATATTGAAGAGTTTAAATATGAAATGCTTAATAGAATTTAATTGAAATGTGAAAGGTTTTCTTCAAAGAAATTTTTTTAAAAAAAGAAAGAAATATAAGAAGACTAAAATTTTTAGAAGATGAAAAGATAAGGTATAATAAACTAATGATATTTAAATGATTTTCATAATTTATTAACGGATATGGATATCCACGGGTACGAATATCATTAAATCCATATCCATATCCATTAACAAACATGTATTTAAATATCCATTTATTTTACCCGTGGATATCCATTAAGCTATTCGTCCCATATCCGTGACGGATTTTATCCGTAGATATCTGCGAATACGATTTTTTTTGCCATCCCTAAACTTGCGTAATAACACGAAAAGGAAATAACATAATGTAATTAAGTGCAGCTGACATCACCAAAGAATTCTACTACTTGCACACGTAATCCTTCATCCAATTTGATTTTTTTGATGACCTATTTTCCACCATTGAACTCACTTCTACCTCCTTATTGTTGGGCCTTTCCTAAGCATGTATTGGACCTGCTAATGATGGGCTCGAATCATTTTCTCCCTATCAAAACTGATCTTGTCCCCAAGAGAAATTTTTATTGTACCCCATGTATTTCTTAGATACCATGCGAATTTTCTATAATGCTCATAGTTACCGAAGATATATCTTCGGACGTATCCTTTTTTATATTCAAGAAAGACCATTCTGGATGGCGCCCCATGCGTTTGGGTTTGATTAGTTCTAAAGATATATCTCTGGAACAATACCGTAGTTATATTTTCGGAACAAAATAAGAGATAAAATCAACACAAAATGAACTTTTCAAACATAAAATGAGCATACATACCATAAAATAAGCATTACAATGATTATTTCAACAAAAAATTAAATACTACATTTCAATATCCTGGTGGAAACTTGCACATCTCCAAGATATCTTCGACCGATCTTCGTAGTGTCTCTTCCGTCTCGAGCATAACTTTCTCTTCGAAACCGAAAAACGTTTGCCACATCGTCATAACATCCGCTTGAGTCTTAAGCTCAAATTTACTGAACACAATGTTCCCTTCATTGTCAACTGAAGGTGAATGGTACTCGGGCTTCACAACCCTTCGTTTATCTCCGTAAGGTACGAGATATTAGATCTCGTTTAAGATATCTTCGAGGGAGGTGAGATCGGTAAGTTGGAATGTCCTCCCGGGTGTTTTTCCGTTGAAGTATGAGATACTTGCGACATACCAATGAATGTTTACTTTACATATTTGAGACATTTTGAGTTTGTGTGAAGTATAACACATGAACACCCAAATTTATAGAAGACCTAGTTCAATATGAACAGACAGTGCACAAGAAACAAATATGAACTAAACGTGCATAAACACCAAATATGAATAAAAAGTGATAATGTAACACTTCATTTATAAATTAAGGCATAATAATATACAATTATTCGCCAGATTACACATGAAATTAAATCAAATCGAAACATGTTTCGTCGACTAAATCTATAGGTGGTACCCCCTTGGCCTTTTGTGCATTCAATTCCTTTTCAATGTTGTTCAATCTTTCGAATTCTTGCATCATTTTCATAAAATGATTCAACCACATCTCGACATTTGCGGTTGAATGAATCGTCCACTCCGATGATGTAAGTGGTATGGGGCATCCCGGTTTCAAGTAAACTTGAACAAAATGACTTGATTTTGAAAGCCATCTAATATACATGATGCGATCATTTGAATTTTGAGATGGTGCGGTGCAGAATGGGAAAAAGGTTTTTGAAAACCCGTAGCGTGTTAGGTCAATGCACATCCTCTTATATGCACATGTAATTAGGTGACCCATTTTGGGGAAGGTCATCCATTTTGACTCTGGTGCCGGACCGCTCAAGTAAGGTACAAGAGACTCATAAACCGCATCAAATTTGCCTTTACTTTTGTACAACAACGTGTACGATTCTTTACGCGTCTTTATTATGTTGGTTTTGAATCATGTGGTCCACGGAGTCCCAGTTTCGAATCAAATCCCCTTTTCTATTTCCCAACCAATTTTTCAAAGTAGCACGAGCCGACTCAACTCTGTTGGTAGTTGTATTACCAAAGTGTCAAACATTATTAGTCCAAGCACAAACTATCTTCTCCTTTACCTGATCAAGAATGATGCTTTCAACGTATTTCAACAAAGTAGGATACTTTTCACACACTTTTTGGAAATGAATGAAAGAATCGGCATATAATTCTTTTGTGGAAGAATTTATTATACGATTCCATGCATCTATTATTTTTTTCAACAATCACACTCGACTTCACCAATTTTCCACCTTCGGACTCTACTTGTTTCGTCTCTACTGCGGGTTTAACCCGACTTCTCATATTCTTTGTTATGTAATACCTACAAAGTAATGCATAAGAAGAAGGAAATACCTTTGCAACTGCATTCATCAATGCGGTATCATGATCCGTAACAATAACTTTAGGCATCTCATCTTGATCCTTCAAAAATGACTGACACACCTCTAATGTCCAAGTAAATTTGTCCTTTCTTTCACACTCTAAAACTTCAAAACCAACAAAATATATCTTCTCAGTTGAGGTAACACAACCATTTCAAATAATGGAAGTCTATACTTGTTGGTCTTGTAGGTAGAATCAAGTATGAACACTGTCGAAAACGTGTTGAACAACTTTATCGAATCTGGATGAGTCTAAAAAATATCTTTAACTGTAACTCCATCGTCGCAAGTTCGGTACCGGGACATGTAATTGTTATCGTCCAACAGTTTCAATAGTTGTTGTATCTCAGTTCTATCTCCTATAATTGCCTTGTTAGTGAGGTACCGAATGTTATACACTTGCTTGATATTTGATATTTTATCAATTTGCTTTTGTTTCAATGTTGCAAGTATATTTTTAGGTTGGACAAGATTCAAGGTCATGTCACTAATACATACCTTCTCTTCTGTCTTGAGCCGACATGCATTAGGATGATCAACTAATTTTAAGTACAATTCATGGTTATTCAAACCACAAATAACATTAAATCTCCTTTTTTTCTAGCCAACATGTAACCCTGAAGCTTAAATGGACACTCACATTTTCTACGACCCATGTCTTCTCTCTTAAAATTCCAGACATACATTCGATAGCTTCCGCTTCTTTCGCACAACATAATCAAAAAGGCGCTTCTTCTATCCGAGCCATTATCTGATCTTCTGACAACCACACCAAATCCAAGTCTATATGCCATTATACGAATCCATTCGAGCATGT